ACTTATATAGAGCACATTCCTGATTAGCAGAAACCATAGTCTTAAAAATATAGAGATATGAAGGTGCGCAGTCCCTGGGGCAGGGGGAGGTGGAGCACAAGTCGGCATAATGCAGATGCTCTGAGATGAAGAGGAAGCACCACACTCTGACAGTGGAAAGCCACCTCCCCCCTCAGCATCTCCATTTCCACATCCATCCAAAAGTGACGTTTAATATCTGGCCCGCCTCCTTTCTGAAACTATTGTGAGATAAGAGGGGGTTTGTCACTGAGACTGATGTTCAGGAGCCACATTTGCTCATGAATGTTTTTGTTTCTTTTGAATCCTGAGTCTTAGCTGCACTGTGGAACTGAGTAGAATACTTCATGAACTTCCTGGTATTCTAAGGAGAACTCTCCCTGAGCATTCGCTCATCACTTTGCAGAGGCAGGGAGTGGGGATGCGGCATTGTACCAATTCTGCTAGAAGAAACTTTTGATAGTGCTCAGGAACAAGGGGTCATGGCTTGTCCTTTGACCAGCTGAGATACAGTGCTTTGATCTTATAGAATGACATGGAAAAGCATTTAAGTTGTCTTTTCTAAGGCAGGTCCCTTTGTTGCTTCTCTTTGCTCAGAATCTTTCACTGATTCCTAGGTGTTCTTGCCATGACCTCCCTTATATGGGTGGATGATACATGCCCACATCATCATCTCATTAGCCATGTGGCATTTGAGTGGGGCTTGGAATAGCTTCCAGCCCCAAGCCACCCAGTGGGATATAAGCATCTCCTTTTCTGATTAGGAAATGACAGGATGATGGTGGGAAAGCACCTGCTTGGCATAGATTCAGGATGTTCCCAAAACTCTCCCTGCACATCTGCTCAGGATCACATCTTAGTGGAGACCCTTGCTGCACTGTCTCCTGCCTTCTTGTCCATGTTGTGGCCTCAAAATCCCTACCCCTCTGCCTGACAAATTCCAGCCCAGGTTGATGCTGACTTCCCTTCTCTGAGTACTGTTCATAAGCTGCGTCATGCTCTAGGCGTTTGCAGTCTTCATGTGGAATTTTAATGGTGTCAGGTCTTAGAGTCATGCTCATTTTTTGCATCCCTATATAAGTGACAGACAAAGATTGAATATTGTTCCTTCAGTAAGTATATGCTGAGCTAATATTTTAAGTAAAGCCCATGAGATTGGGGGACATAGGGATGAAACCGAGTCCATGTGTATTTCTGTTGATTTGCATGTTATATGTGTTCGATAAATTACCGAATGAGGGAGAGAAATAAAAGCCATTGTGAGCGAGTCTCAGCAGTAACTTTGCTGTAAGAATGAAGGGCAGCGATTCTAGGTGAAGTCATTTCGAAACAAATCCCACCACCAATGCTGAATCCTTGAGTAACCTTGGAGATCCTTCCCAGCAAAGCTTTCATGCATGTGCCCAACCAGACCTGAATTGGTTTTAGGATGTCTGTTTCAGCATTGGTATCACAGCAAAAATGTAGGACATGATGGAAATGTAGTTGTGGAATACTGATAAAATAAAGTGACTTCAGTGACTACACAGAAGCTGAAATACTAACATGATTAAATCTTAAAGACATAATAGGCTGGGAGATGATTTCATTGGTAAAGTGCTTGCCGCACAAGCATGAGGACCTGGCTTCAGTCTACAGCACCCACATACAGAGCTGGGCGTGGTGGCAGGTGCTTGTCATCATAGTGCTGAGAAGGTTGAGTCAGGATCCCCCTGGCCAGCAAGCCCCAAGACCCTTGTCTCAAAAGGAAGTAAGTAAATGAATAAACAAGGTCTGACAGGTAACAACACCCAAGATTGTCCTCTGACTCCCACATGCATGTACACATGTACATACATGCACCCAAACACACATGAGCATGTACACACAAAAAATGTTCAAAATATTTTTAAAAGATGTAACAGTATGTGCTCAGGCAAGTGAGAGTAGGAAATACTCAATATGAAACACACACCCCAAAGCCCACCAAGTATTGCTTATTATTATATGTGTAGAGAATAAAAATATAAGAATGTGCATAGACTGAAGCAAATGCCTCTAGAGACTCTAGAGACCAGTTGCTTCTAAGGAAGGGGGCAAGGTAGAATGAGATGGTGAGTCTTTTGATTCATCAATCATGTTTTATTTTTGACAGTTATTGTATCTAAGTATAGGGTGTTCTTTACATTAGTTTCTGTATTTTTGTTGGTTTGAAATATATCATAATTATAAAAATTAAATAAACTTGCATAAATGTAAAGCCTGGGGAACTGTGAGAATGATCTCTCACCTCTGCATTTAGTCCTAAGTTCTTGACTCAACCCCCTCTCCAAGGAGCCTAGTAGTCAGTGCTGAATCAAGTCTGTCATTCAATCCACCAAGATACCACATCATTGAAAATCATGGGTGCTGAGTTCAGATTCCAGAGCTCTACACAGAACTCTCCAGATGCCTCAAAATAATATGCCTTCAGATCTTTCGTCACTGTCTCTAGCTTGCACCCCTCCCCTGCCACATCTCTATATACTGGAGCATCGACCCTACCTGATTTAAATTCATTTTTGCAATAAGATTTGATGAAATTCTTTCACGTACTGGACTAGAGTCCCTTTTGGTGTGTCAGCCACCAGTCCTACATCACTACATTTTCCAGCTTTGGACTTTTCTTTTCCTCCCAAAATAAACAAGACATTTTTTTTTTTACTAAACATTTTCAGCCAAGCAATAAGTTGCATTATTGCATTTTTGTACATATATGTTATTATACTTTGCTTGTATTCATTCCCTTCCCAGTACCCCCTATCCCTCCTCTGGCCGGTCCCTTTCCAAATAATACATTTGTTGTGAATTCTACTGTTTGTAAAAATGCCTCCATACTTGGGGAAATTATTTGGGGAACAGTTCCTGTTGCACTGGAGCTAACTTGATGCTCAAGAGGACTAATTTTCTGCATTTCTTCCCAATCTTGCACCCATGACACTATATTGCCAGGCTGAACTGTCCCAAGCTGGGAGAATTTACACCATAGAAACCAGCAAGCACTATTAATCACTTTATTTAGTTTTTCTCAGGACAGATGGTGGTTGAACATTATCAAGCTGTCACAGGGTTTTGTGAGGACAAGTAGTATCTTCCTCATTTTACACATGTAGAAATTGAGAAAAAAAAAAAAAGGAGAAGTCACTGGTGATGGCATGGGCCTTAAATCCCAGCCCTCGGGAGGCAGAGGCAGGGAGATCTCTATGAGATCAAGGCTAGCCTCGTCCACATAGTGACTTCTAGGCTTCCAGGTGGGCTGGGACACTGCCAATGAATAAATGAATGCATGAATGAATGAGTGGAGAAGTCCTGCCTGAGTCCTATAGCTCCAAATGGTGTTGCTGGGCCTCAGGTCTCTGTGGAACAGCAAAACAGCTCTGGCTTTGGAGTGAGGCAGGCCTATACCTGAAGCTAGTCTGCTAGCTTTTGAACCCTAAATAGATTTAGGACAGGTGTCTGACTTAGCCACTCCATTTTCCCACCAATAAACTAAGATGACAAAAATCTGTCTTGTAAAGATTTTGGGGACATGAAAGAAAATGGTATGTGAAAAAAACCAATAGTGCATAAAGGAGATGATACAGGTGTAATTCACTCTGTGACCTAGAAATACAGATCTCTATTATCCCATTCTTCCCAGTTATTTTGAACCGTCTGGCTAGGTACCCTTCTCTCAATGGCCAGTTTGCTTTTTCTGCAAATGTGCTGATAAGAAAAAAGTGTTACAGTCGATATTTATGTCTGATGGGGTGTGGGGAAAAGCCGGTTTCTTTCCTAGAGTCTTAGAAATGTAAGTACTAGTTATCATCAACTAAGATCATTTTTCAGCTGCCTGGAGTTTCTCCACTGTCTGTTCTGTTGAGCCAATCATTGTGAGAAGGACTACTTTGGGGACCCATAGGTGTAGCAATTCCATCCGCCATATTGACTGTGTGGCCTCTGCTTGAGCTCTGTCTTTTCTCTGCTCACTTAGACTGAGCTGGGGGTAGACAGCTGCCTGTAATCTCACTAAGCCAAAATATACTTTCCTTGTTAGATTTGATTTTGATCTTTCTGACCTCGTGTGTGTGTGTGTGTGTGTGTGTGTGTGTGTGTGTGTTATTGCTTTGCCATTTCTCAAACTACAAAATGGTATATAGTGAAAAGTTCCTGCTCTCCATACTGCCCCATTCACCCAGACCTCTCCCCACAAAATCTAACCATAAAAAAGGTGATGAGGAGGAAGAAACAAGCACTTGTTACTAGTTTTGTATAAACTCAAAGGCTTTGGATTTATGTTAAAGACCCAGGAGTAACACAGCCTTTCCTTTCATTGATGCACAGCTGATTATCAGTGCCACCGCGTTGAAGTCAGGAACTGGGCGGTAATCCTAAAACATCTGATAAACATGTGCTCAGAGGAAAGCCGTGGAGAAGCTACTTTTATATTGTGCAGGTGCCACACTTTAGCCACACTCAGGATGACAGGTCTCGAGGGGGGACATGGGAGGAAGAGATAGTATTTGTGAGAAATATGCTACAGATCACACAAGCTAGTCCATTACTGTGAAAAAATATACATAATGAAATTTTACCATTTTAACCCCATTTCTGTGAGTAGTTCTTAAGTCCATCCACAACCATAACTACCATTCATCTCCAGAAAGTACTAGGCTTTCCCTCTTCTCAATTAATCCCTTTTCTTATACAATGGGAGTATTTCAGGGACATGGTTTAGTCTCATACTAAGTATCTGGCAGGGCCTGGGGTTGAACCCAGACCTGTTCATCTCCAAACCATGTTCCCTATATGGTGAAAACTCGCTGACTGAGCTTTGGGAGGGAAATCTTGCTTTACACGTTGTTGGACCTCACCTCTGTGCAGCAGGCTGTCCCCAGTGTCCAAGAAGCCAGGCTGTGCTGGGGAAGTTTGCCTGGCTCCATCTCACCATTGCTTTTCTTCTTCTGCCCTGTGATGTTGCCCAGGGGTGATTCTGCTGCTTTTGGATAAGCTGCGGAAGATGAAATGGGAGCAGATGTGGAGGCTGACGGCAGAGAGGGAGCTCATGGGCATGCTGTCTACCTCCTTGGCTGACCAGGTGAGTGGCTGCTTACAGGGACTCTCACTCCTGAATGCCTTTGTGTTAGCACATAGTGTGTTGTTATTATACCGAATGCAGAGATCATCAACACATAAAGAGAAAAGCTGTCTTCTTGTTGTTTGCTTCAAACAAGGTCTCATTATATACCAAACTGGCCTTGAGCTATCAGTTCTCCTGCTTCAGTGTCCCATGTGCTGGGATTACAGGTATGTGCCACCGTGCCTGGATTGAAAAATTTGTTTTGGCTCATAACTTTGGAGGATTTAATCTGTAGTTAACCATGCTGCTCTAAAAATAACAACAGGGGCTGGAGAGATGGTTAAGAGCATGGGCTGCTCTTGCAGAGGACCCAGGTTCAATTCCCAACACCCACATGGTGGCTGTGAACCATCCTTAACTCCATTTCCAGGGAAATCCAACGCCCTCTTCTGACCTCCACGGCACTGCATGACACAGGTGCACTCACATACATGCAGGCAATACACTCATACACATAAAATTAAAATTATATACATACACACACACATATATATATACCATATATATATATATATATCAGGGAGACTATCCCTGACCAAATTATGTAGCTGTTTCTCAGCAGTATGTGAATTCGTTTCTCCCTGTCATGTGATTCCACATGCCTGACAACACTGCCTTGTATTTGCCAGACTAGCACAGCATTTCACTCCTCAGCTCATCCCCTCAGTTCACTCATTAACTCAAACAACTTTCACTGAACATTGTACCACCAGGCTATGGAGAGAAAGGAAAGCAAAGGACCTGGTTCTTTACCTCAGACGTTCATGACTTACGGAAGCAGACTCATAAGTGAATGGCAGCCTGATGTGTTAAAAGGCTGCCATTTTTACCATTAACTTGGAATGCACCTGCTCCTTATAGTCCCAGAATACATATCCAAAAGAACATTTTTCTTAAAAACAGCATCTAGGGCCAGGCATGGTGACGTATACCTTTAATCACAGTACCCAGGAGGCAGAGGCAGGCAGATTTCTGTGAGATAGAGGCTAGCCTGGTCTACATAGTGAGTTAAGGCCAGCTCAGGCTACAGGGAGACTCTGTCTGGACGGTCCCCCACCCCTACCCCCAAAAACCTAGCATCTAATATTTAAGTTCAGGCCATTATGTGTGACCCTGTCCTGGGACTCAAGGGAACTGAATTTAAATAGGAGAAAAACCTCCTGGCTCCTGAAACCACCCTTTTATCTAGGCAGCCGGAAGAAGTCGTTGAACTCCAACAAACTATTAACAAGTATTTATTAACCCTCATTTCTCATCTTGACTGGGAAAGGCGCCTCATTTAGATTTGATCTTCCTGTGGCATTGTTGGCCATCTTGAGGTCGTGAAGATGCTTTCTCTGTGTTTTCTTCTTTGCATCCTTCCGTTTTCACCCAGAGAGGGGCTCACATGCCACATTTTTGTTCAACATTCATTTGTCAAATTCCCACAAAGTGTTCAAATACAGAGGAAACAAGAAACTCTACAGAGTTGCATAACTGTTTTTTCTTTTTTAGCATTCTTATTCAATATTTCCCAAGGAGCCAAAAACTTATTTCCTTTCCTAAACAATGAGATACAGCATAATGAATGAGTGAAGGAAATATATAACTCAGATGCTGTCTTAGGCCTGAGGGGGAAATTGTCTGCTCACCTCGTATTTCAAGTCCGGTCACAATGACTTGAGTATATACCCCAAAGCTAGCAATTGTATGTCCATGTCCAGTGAGGATAGTTTGTTCAGCCATCTTATGCCACAAAGGTCCATAATTCACCTCCAGGCACCACCTGTCAGGAGCTGGCTAATAAGTGGGGCTTCATGCAGGAGTTTGGAGAAGAGCCCAAACAAGGTAAAAAACCTCCCTAGATAAGTCGGAGTTGGATTTCAAAATGGGGAAATGTATACTCTGGATGCTGTGGCCTGCAGGAATCCAAGTAGCATCCATCACCAGGCCAACCAAACTCCCCAAACAGGAGCTATAGGAAGGGGGATCTATAATTTGCCTCTGCCTTCTGGATGAGTTGATCCACTTATCAGTTTCCTCTCCAGGAGACTCAGGATGGATTGCACAGGGTTCCTGCCTAGGGCGAGATGAGGGGAGGAAAAGAGACTTCATTTATTATATGGTGGCCAGGATAGGGAAGTCACTCCCTCTCTACCCTTGTGTCTCCCTGGATGGTGCTTCATGAGACCAGCAGGACCTCACAAGCATCCAGTCAGCACAGGGCATTCCCCTGTGTCTGCACAAACATTATCCCTAGGTTCATGGAGATGACAGGCAAGAGAACTGCCCATAGTGCAAGCCATCCTGTGCCCAAAGCAGGGTGCTCAAGAGTCACCCTCCTGTAAGCTGAACCTGCCATTAGCTTGACTGTGCATTTGGTCTCTATCCCCCAGGATATTTTCAATGCTGTCATCAAACAAAACCCCTTCCTGGTCTATCAGCTCCCCTGCTTCTGGAACGTGCAGCTGTCAGACCACACTCGCTCCGAGCAGTGCTACAGAGATGTGTCTGATCTCAAGGTGCGTCAAGAGGGGCCATGCTGGGATGTGGGTTACATTTTCAGAAACAGTCCTGTGGTGGGTACAGGGAAGCTGGGTGGGGGTATTTGTAACGGTGTGGCTGGCTGTGGGCAGTATGGTTGGAAGCTAGGAGGGCTCAGAACAGAAAGAGAATGCTTTTCTTCCTCGTTGGCATTTTCTTTCTGGAAAGCATAAAGCCTGTGGAGTAAGAACCAGCTTGCGTGATTATTCCTCTTGCATCTGCTGCCAGCTGCTTTGGTTCATGTGAGCTCCCCAAATCCATTGATTTAACTCAAGCAAAAACATTTGTGGAGGGCCCCACTCCATGCCAGGTGCTACAGACGGGATGTGAATGACTTCCTACTTGCAAGTCTCACATGAGACAGAGGAGAAGCAGGAACACAATATAAATACATACTGCAGGTGGGATGGCAAGTGTGGGAAGATTGGGGCAGAGAATACAAACCTAAGTGTCTCATTCTCCCTCCAGGAGACGAGACAGAGACAGAAAATCTGTGTGTGGCTCTCTAGGTACCAAGCACTGAGGAAGGACTTGATTGTAAAAAGACAAAGAGGCAGATGTATCAGTTACTTGATGCTGTAGATAATGCATTGCCTAAGAAATTACTTTCTGTTGATGAGCCTACACATGGAATGAACAAGGTTCTCTCATTTTTCCTGGCTTAACTAAGTCCTCTTGATCAGTGTCAGTTCAGTTGGGTGATGGTTGGGGTATCTCAGCTGTCCTCCAGGGTCTGTGTGCTTATCAGCAAGGCAGGCTGATGTGTTCTCAGAAGAAGGCAGAGAAGGAAACCCTGGTTTACTGCTGCTAATGAGCCAATGACCAATGTATTCAAAAAAACAATGTGTTTTAAACCTTGCTTTCCCCCAAATCAGACATTTCCAATTAGTTTCTGGTCCATGTACTCATGTGTATTTTGTGTTTTGTTTGGAGTCAGTGCATCTTTAAATTTTTTTCTTTTCCCTTTTCATATCATTAAGTACTTGTGGCTCAGCCACACAGTAAGTACATCCACTAATTACCTAATAATCCATTACTTAGCCATCATTCCCTTAACCTTAGCTGTTTTCATGGTTCACAAGTACAAACTGTGCTATAATGAACTACTTTGCCCATAAGCTTTTTACTTCTTTTAAAACATTTTTGTGGCATCCATTCCCAGGAGTAAAATGAAAGAGCCAAAACCAAAGGGATTTATATAGGTGTTTGTGTGTGTCTGTGTGTGTCTGTGTGTCTGTTTGTCTGTGGCTGTCTGTGGCTGTGTGGCTGTGTGTGTCTGTGTTTAATGTGTTTGGAATTTGTTCTTTGTTTTCTACTTTTTTTTTTTTACTAGAAGTTCATTTCACGATGGTAGAAGCTAATTAAAACAGAAATATTTGCATCACTCTTTCTTTTAGCATTTATGTAATTCCTCATGTTTTATGCATTGTTAGGCAGATAGACAGGAACAACTTCAAGCATATTGTGAGCTGAGAAGTCTGCAGGTGTATTAGTTACTTTCTTGTTGCTGTGACCACATACCCGGCAAGAATCAGCTTAAACAAAGACTAGTTTATTTTGACTTGCAGTTTTAAGGGAGACAGTCCATCCTGGCAGGAAGGGGAGGTGGGAGGAGTATGGGGAGGTTAGTCACATTGCAGCTGCCGTCAGAAAGCAGAGAGTAGGTAACAAGTGTGGCTGGACTGTAACACACAGAGTCCTGCTCCCAGTGATGCACTAATTCCAGTAAGCGCCACCCTCTAAAAGTTTTGAAATAGTACCACCAGCTGGGAAGTCAGCATTCCAACACGTGAGTCTACGGAGGACCTCTCACATTCACACCCCTAAAGGAGGGGAGGAAAATAAAACCAGAGCATCAGAAAATGCCGAGCATGAACTCTTTTCTAATAATGTTTTGAAAGCATAGGCCGTCTGTCCATAAAGGTGGTAAAGACCAGTTACAGCGAAGGAGTGTGGATCCAGAAGGGTAAGCAAGGGACAGCTGGTGAGGTATTTACCCTTAGCAGCCTGCTGACCCAGTCCCCCCACCTCCACCCCCCATGGCTTGGAGTGTGGTGTAAATGTAATACTTAAGAAAAGCATAGAAACAGTAGAGAAAATAGAAAGCAAGAAATCAGCTTAATAGAAATAGTTCCAAACAAATCAAGAATCAAATCAACATGAGCTAATTATACTATAACTAATTCTAAACTCATTTTGGTAATGAAGAAATGGGTTTCGAGATTCAAGAGAAAAGTATACCCAGCACATGCTCTATATAAGAGATATGCCTAACTGGAGAAAATACTAAAGGTTGACAGTAAAGTTATACAAAAAAATTATCAAGGAAGTGTTCGAAGAAAGCTCGAGTAATTGTAGTGATAGTGGAGAAAACATTGGGGGAGATGGGCCCAAAGGAAAAGTAATGAATTTACCAAGAAGATCCAAGAATCCTTACTCTGCACGCTTCTGACACTGGAGCACACATAACTGTAAAGGTGTGGGTGTGCGGAATACAGAATATCTATCTACAGCTGCATTTATGGATTTTAATTTATGTTTACGTCCACATACATACAGTTTATTACACCTTCAGAGAAAAAGAAGGACAAATGTCCCATCATGGTGGAATGTTTTCATGGACCTTTTTCAAATATGAATTGATCAGTCAAAAATTACAAAAACATGGAGGACATGGAAGACATAGTTAACACGCTTTATTGGGCCTTTGTTCTAGGGACTGGAGAGATGGCTCAGTGGTTAAAAGCCTCTTGCAAAGGACCCAGGGTTTGGTTCCTAAGACCCATTGGCAGCTAATAACTGTCCATAACTTCAGTTCCTAGGGCTCCAATGCCCGATTCCGGCCTCTATGGGCATGGCATGCACCAGACCACAGAACAAATCTCAGTACATATTAAAGAATCATATTTTACCATAATGCACCAAACAAAGTGGAATTAAATTAGAAAGCTACAACAATAAAATGAAAAGGTCTATTTGATTAAAATTGAGAACCCAATTCTAAATTCCTCTTGCTTCTAAACAGAAATTGTAATTGACACTGAAAACCTCTTAGAGACTAAATGAAAATTAAAGCAATTAATGTCAAAAAATAGGGGGATAGATAAGCACGTAGGGAAATACATAAACTTAAATGTTTGTATTAAAAAGAAAAAAAGGCTGCAAATTAATATGCCAAGTTTACAGCTTAGGGTGATAGATAATGAACATTAGGATAAATTAAAAGGAAATAAAAGGCAGGACATAAAGAAGATAAGAATAGAAATTGATTAGCAAATTATGCCATAAAATCAGAAATTCTTTGGTTGGAGGAAACCGACAGGATCCACAATAGTGCAGCAGACTCAGAAGAAAAGCGGGCTCAGCCAACGAGGGAGAGCCTGTATAAATTCAGGCTCATTGAGTGATTTTTCTGATTTCTAGGAATACAGCAAAGATTAAAGTCATCAGTCTCTTGGTTCATGGAACTTTCAACCCAATCAATACAATAGAATTGTAGAAAGTATTCAAATACTGTGAACGTGACGTCAATAAATTTGAAAATGTACATGAAACGAACAAACTCCTAGGAATGTATAATTTACCAAAACCGATTTAAGGAAAAGTTACATGTTTAAGTGATCTTCTGTCCATTAAACTTTCTTGTGGGGTGTGTATGTGCCTGCATGTGGAAGCCAGAGGGAAACCTCAGTGTCATTCTTCAGGCAGTGTTCACCTTGTATTCTGAGGCAAGGTCTCATGCTGTCACCTGAGGCTTACTGATTAGCCTGGGCTGGCTGGCCAGTGAGCCCGGAGATCTACCTGTCTTCCCCTTCCCAGAGCTGGAATTATAAGCATGCACCATCATGGCCAACTTTGTATAGGGGCTCTGGTCATCAAAGCTAAGTCCGCATGCTTGTGCTACAAGTACTTTTTCTAGAGAGTTCTCTCCCCAGATCCCCGAGCACACTTTGGCTAGGCATTTTCTCGGGGTGTACTGTATCGTTAAATTAAAAGAGCAGAATGGATAATGGAGGAACACCGGCACGTCTGTGGCCATGTGGTAGATGAAAAGGTAGCGTTGCTGATCATTCAGAAAGGACTGGCTTTTCTACAAATGGTACTGAGACACCAAATTCTCCATATGGAAGAGAAAATTAACAGGATCTTCATCTCACACCAAGATTCCTTCCCAGTGAGTGAAAGGCTTTTTAAAGGCAAAGTAAAAGAAACAAAAACAAAAAACTTCCACCTTAAAAGTTGAGAACTGGGTAGTTCTTAACCTTCAGAAGAGCGAGGAGCTTATTCAACAAGACTTGGAGGGGGGTGCATTGCGGGGTGGGGGTGGGGGGAGACCCTGCTGGGTCAAATGACTGTCAGTTTTAGCCTTGATTTACTTTCTTTTTCTCTGTAGACCATGTTTGGTTCTGCAGTCGGAGTGCTCTGTTATCTTGCATGAACTGCCCTCATTATGCATCTTCTAGGATCATCAGAGTGCTTTGCGTTGGAGTGCAGGGAGATTTCGAGGACTCTTGCAAAGCAGTGGGAGAACGCTCCTAGCTTATTTCCATTTCTCCCATTCTTTGCTTCACATACACCTAATGGAAGGCAAATTTTTTAGTGACTTCTTATCACATTGGGTAAAGCACTTACTTTGCCTTTTGTTGAAATAGCAGCTCTCTTTCTGCAGTGGGATGCCAGTAATCCAAAGAATATTTAATTAGATTTCTAATTCCACTAGAAACAGAAATGAAGATACCCTTGGTAGCCAATATATTAACCTAGTTGTTAGGGTCAGAGCCTGGGCCCTGGAAGCCTTAGGCTCAGCCACCTACCCTCAACAGGCCAATTAAAGAAACAAAGTAATGATTTGAAAAGCAGAGAAAAGAGATTTATTCCATTGGGCCTGGTAGCATATGCCTTTGATCTCAGCAGAAGTAGAAGCATCTCTCTGAGTTCTAGGCCAGCCAGGGCTACATAGTGAGGCCCTGCTTAAAAA